TCCTCCTCCTCCTCCTCCTCCTCCTCTTACCCCCCTCCTCCTCTTCATCGGTTGAGGGGAGGGCTGAGGGTCCGCTCAGTGCCACGCTGCGCGGTGGCGGATGTACTCCGACCCCCTGTGAGGGCGGCCCCGTCGACAGCAGCCACCAGAAGAACAGCAGCATCGCAGGCCTCGGCCTGCCCGTGGATGACCGCGCAAGAGGGCCCGAGTCGCCGAAAGATCGCTCCGAGACGCCCAAGATGGCTCCATACGGCTCTGGAGGCCGCCAAGAGGCCCCAAGATAGTCTCAGGAGGCTCTCCAAGAGAACCCCAACAAACAAACATCCTCCCATTCTTGGGCGCCCGAGTTATCCGGGGTAACTCGGGTCCGGGGTAACTCGGGTTCGGGTTCCCGAAAAAGCGAACCCGAGTTATCCCTGACCCGAGTTACCCCTGATGATTCGGGGCTCTGGGCGCCCGAGTTATCCGGGGTAACTCGGGTCCGGGATAACTCGGGTTCGGAATCCCGAAAAACGAACCCGAGTTAGCCCTGACCCGAGTTACCCCTGATGATTCGGGGCTCTGACATTCCCTTTGGAAAAAACGTACGTGTTTCGCATATGCGACGTTTGGGGGTTCACAGCGTCCAAAACTGCCCGAGACGGCTCAGAGAACCCAAGAGGGCCCCCAGGCGGCCCAAGAGGGCACCAAGACGACCCAAGAGGCGCCCAAGACGGCCCACAACGGCCCCAAGAGGGGCCCAAAAGGGGGCACCCGACATGACATGTCAATAGACCCACAAACGGCCCCCAAGAGGCATCCAGAAGCTTCCAAACTGCCTCCACGAGATTTTCACACGACTCCTTCCTCCTCCCTCCTCCCTCCTCCCTCCTCCCTCCTCCCTCCTCCCTCCTTCCCTCCTCCTCCTTCCCTCGCCTCCTTTCTCTTCCATCCTCCCCCCGCCCCCCTACCCCCCTCCTCCTCCCTGCCTCCTCCTCCTCCTCCTCCCTCCTCCTCCTCCTCCTCCTCCTCCTCCTCCTCCTCCTCCTCCTCCTCCTCCTCCTCCTCCTCCTCCTCCTCCGCCTTCTCGATCGGGCTCCTCGATCGGGCTCCCCAGCCCCCTCTATCGGGCGGGCGGGGCCGACGCGGTGCGGCACGAGCATGGGCACAAGGCACCCCCACATCACGGAAGGGTGCGGGGGGGTCGAGGCCTACCCTGGCCGCCCTAGGGTTAGGTCGGACGTTTCCCCCTACAGGGGAATTTTGGGCGAAAGATAAAACATACTCAAACATATAACCCCCAAATTGGCAAACGTAGTCAAAAAAATCGTCCCCAGACTATTTTGCTGACTATTCTTGAATATCCCTCCTGTAGATGGGCAGGCGGGACTTAACCCCAGGGGGGCTGCTCAGTCTGAGGCCAGCAGGGACTCGCTTCCAGAGGCTGTCAGTGCACAACCCCGTGCCTTGCCAGGCCTCCTCCGCCTCCGCCAGCCCTCCCTCCCCAGACCCCCCACGTCCTGATTTGTGCATAACGTCCATCTCCAGAGGTCTCGACCCCTTCCCCAGGACCGGTGTTCGTCCTGAGTCGTGTTTCGACGGTCCCGAGGCCCGTGAAGGGCCCCCAAGGGCAGAAAAAGGCAAAAAATCTCCCGCCGTGATTTCTGTCACACCGCGAGGGGGTCTGGGCCTTTCCCTCGTCCCCCGAGAGCAGGGCACGCTGCTCTCGGAGGCAGCTGCGCTGGAGCCCCGCCCGCCCCAGTGCCAGCGGCGACCCTCGGCCGCCTTGAACACCGCGCGGCCGTCTGCGAGCCGCCAGCAGTACTCCTCCTCGGCGACGACACGCCCTCGCGGCCGGCGGTCCAGCCCCACGACCTCAGCGCCTATGCCGCGGGCGACCAGTTGAGGTGTACCTGAGCATATGTTCACTGATCCCCAGACCAGATCCCCACTGGCGTGGCTTGGCCAGGGAGGGAGCCCAGCGCAGAACTAAGAGATCCGCGCGGACTTCCGACGTGTACGTTTGTGCAGTTGTTTCTGCTTCTACTTGCGTCGATGGCCGTCAGGGCGCTTGTTAACCCAATGTGTATGTGTGTGTGTGTGTGTGTTGCCCCGCTCAGCTTCGCTGATGGCACGTCGCCTGGTTCGGCTCTCTTTGCACCACCTGCGTCGTTTTGAAGGGCCTCGGTGGACAAGCGCACGTTGGCGTTATAGCGGGTTCTGAGGATCATCGACCTTTCGGACAGGTCCTGTGTGAGGGGTCCTGGAGGTACCCCCTAGATGGGAGCACAGGCTGTTCCCTGCGGGGTTTCCAGGGGCAGATCCCCAACTAGGGGGGAGACGGGAAAATGGTAGGATACCGTGGCCCGATGGGGATGGGCACGCCCAAATATCCGATCTCTTGACTTCTTTTCCATACGGGGCCCCTGGAAGTCTCGACCCACCCACTCCCCAGGACCAGTTTTTCATCCCGAGTCGTTTCTTGACGGTCCTGGAGCCTGGCGAGGGCCCCCAGGAGGCCGAAAACGACAAAACGCAACCGCATTGCATTTTTCAGTGCCCTGAATCTCTGGGCAGGCTTTACGATACCGCGCACCCGGCGCGCTGTGGCTGGTGCCACGGCAGCCTGGCCTTGCTGGCAGCTGCGGCGTCCCCGGCGCGCTGCCGCTGGCGCGGCAGCCCGCGCGCGGAGGCAGAGCCGCAGGCGGCAGCGGCTGCCCCGGCGACTCCGGGAGCGGCGCCGCCGGCTCCGGCAGCAGGAAGGGCGAGCCGCCCGGGGTCGGCCCGCCCGCGAGCAGGCGGAGGTCTGGCGACGACGAGCGAGGCGAGGACGCGGCCGGCGACGAGGCACCCTCAGAGGCGGGAGCGGGCGGCGGCCCGGACGGGCCGCGGGAGCCCGAGGCCCACCAGCGCCACTTCCGCCCCTCCGCGGCCTTGCGCGCCTGGCGCCCGTCCGCCAGCAGCCAGTGCCGCCGCTCCTCCGCCACGACGCGGCCCCACGGGCGGCCGTTGGCGCCCACGATCGTGCCGCCCACGCCGGCCCCCGGGGGCGCCGCCGGTGCCCCCGCGCCCGGCCCGGCGCGCGGGCCGGGGCCTGGCGGCGGCGCTAGCGCTCCCGCCGGAGAAGGCGGCGCGCCGCCGCCGCCGGGGCTGCCGGCACGCTCGGCGTCCTCGCCGCCGCCTCCGACGGCGCCCGCGCCGCTCGCCGCGCGGCTGCCGCGCGCGCCGCTGCGGGCGGGCGGGGCGCCCTCGGAGCCGTCGGAGCCCTCGGCGCTGCCGTCGCTCGCGGCGCTGCCGCCCGCGGGCCCCAGCACGTCGGGCGCGGCGGAACGCCCGAGGGTCGGGGAGGGGCACGCCGGGGCACGCGCGGCCTCGCGGAACTGGCGCTGGACGACCTTCGTCTTGCCGAGGTCGGGGAAGGCGGCGCGGCAGCGCGCGGACTGCCTTGGCTGGGGCGGGTGGCATCGGGGAGACTCCCCCTCCTCCTCCTCCTCCTCCTCCTCCTCCTCCTCCTCCTCCTCCTCCTCCTCCTACCTCCTCCTCCTCCTCTCCTCCTGCTCCTGCTCCTCCTCCTCCTGCTCCTCCTCCTCCTTCTGCTCCTCCTCCTCCTCCTCCTCCTCCTCCTCCTCCTCCTCCTCCGCCTCCTCCTCCTCCTCCGTGAGACTCGGGTTCGGGGCACTCGGGTTGGCCCGACGGGGCTGTGAGGAAAACGACGAGGCCCAATCTGAAACTTGACGCGAAGTGCCGCAACATCCCACGAAAGCTGGACCGTCAAACTCCAGGACGGGCTCCTCGAAAGGATGGGCTAAGCCGAGTTCCAGAAAACTCGAGTCTTACGTTTCCCAGGTATACAGGGTGGAAGCAGGAGCGAGGGGGGGCCGCGAGGTCTGAATGGGGTGGGGCCCTGCTCCGCGCGGGGAGGCACCGGCGAGGAGGAGAGGCAGGGGGCGAAGCAGACTGGGGGAAGCAGACCTGGCTTGGCCCGCAGCACCAGCCTTCTCCATCCATAACGTCGGGAAGAAGCCACGCACTCGTGCAACGAGAAGAGCACGGCGCAAAGCCCAGACCGCACCTCTCTCATAATTGCATGCTGCAATGTGCTGCGTGTTTTGCTTATGCGCGGACATTGGTCGGGCTGGCTCCACCTGGTCACCTGGCAAGGTCTCTGGGCCCAAGGCTTCTTCCACGACGTGACATGGTCTGGCCAGGGCTTGCGTGCCCGCCGGCCTCAGATGCTGGTTGGCGCCGCGCCAGTCGGCGAAGCGTGCGCCGCACCGGGGGCAGGCGAAGGGGCAGCCGTCGGCGCGGTCCCGCGCACGCGCCTGGACATCCTCGGGCGGATGGGCGAGGGATGGGCGTCCTGCGTCATCCCATACGGTCGGACATAAGACAAACGACCATCCTTCAAGAACGTGAGGCCCTCCGCTTGCCAAACTGGAGAACGTTCGAGGGTACCCTCCCCCGGGATGCACAAGAGCATCACAAAAAAACACGAAGAGGCACCATCCCCGAACCGACCTCGATCTTAAACTTCGGTCCGACCTTACAGTCAGACCCAGGACAGAATCAAGACACCCTCCCCGAACCAACCTCGATCTTAAAATTACATCGGGCCGACCGAAATTCCACCTCGTCGCACGACTGGGCATCTTGTGAGGCCCGAGAGCTTGAACCTGCCAATTCCAGTCAGGCCGATCGCAGTCATAAGCATCCTGCTAAGTATCTCCCAGTCATGCCATATCTCATGACTCACTGTCCTCCTCATACATGATTCCACCTCGTCACACGACTGGGCATCTTGCAAGGCCCGAGATCTTGGACCTGCCAACTACACCTATGTGCGACCGCAATTCCACCTCGTCGCACGACTGGGCATCTTGTACAGCCAAGGAACTTGAGCCTGCCAGTCATTGCACAATACGAGAACGGGGGCCGCTTTCAAATTTACACCCCTTGGCGGCGGAAGACCGCAACCACCGCCGTGACGAAGCAAATAATATTGTGCTGTAACTCGCCATCGCTCGGACCTTCATTTCCCGTGCATTATTCGGTGTCGTGAGTGTTTGTTTCTGCGAGGCGATGCAAGATATGCTGCCCGGTGGTCCACGCCGAAAAAAAAATGCACACGTCCTAACGATGCCAAAGTAATGCGCATACGGGAGGACACACGGTAGACGCGACGGGAAGACCACACCAAAAGGAGACTTCGCACAACAATACGGGAGACGGCACGAAATAATATACAGAACAGCAAGCGGGGACATCATACGGCAGACCACACGGGAGATCTTACGGTGGACCACGCGGGAGGACACATGAGAGACCATACGGGAGAACATGCGAAACCATGCAAGAGACCATAGAAGAGACCCTGCGGGAGACCCTGCGTGAGACTATGCCGAAGATCATACGGTAGACCATGCCATACGAAAAAACATACAGGATTACGGACAGCCATACCGGAAAACCATACGGGAGACCATACAGAAGACCATGCGGAAGACTATAGTGGAGAGACCATGAAAGAGACCGTACAGGGAGACCATACCCGAAACCATACCCGTTACCACACAGGGAGACCACGAGAGAGACCGCACGGGAGAGCATCGAATCACCAGGTCTCGGGCCGGCCAGGGACTCCATGGCCGCTCTTACGGGGAGTATATGGAGTCCTTGCAGGCAAGCTGTTAAGGAAATGCGCGTGCCACTGTAGAGTTTCTCTGAAGGGGCCCGGGGACACACAAATAAATAGACACAAATAACAGGGTCCCCCATATTGTCCCATATTTTCTGGGATTTGTTCTTGCCCCCCACTTCCCATAGTTTCCCATCTTTTCCTGGGAGTCGACGATTAATTGTGTCTGTGTGTTGTTTCCCCTCCTGAAGTATATGGAGTCCTTGCAGGCAATCTGTCAAGAAAATGCGCGCGTCACTGTAGGGTTTCCCCTGGATATAGAAACTCCAGCAGCTACGCAGAAAATTGCAGGGCGGCGCCAACTGTAAATCCGTCGGCCTCTTAGGGTTCCCAGGCGTGTGATCGGAGGTTGGGGGTTTGATCGAAGTGCAACGGAGATCCCCCATTGGGAAATTGATTTCGGTTTCGTGTTCGTGCCGCGCGTGCGGGCGAGGCGAAGCTGCGTTCGCGGGCGAGCAAACTGCTCCCACCGCTGCTAGGGCAAAGTCAGACCCAAAGTCTCTCGCCCGTCCAATTTGCGGACTTGGGGCTGGGGTTGTCCAGCGGCCGTCTCATGTTTATCCCGTGGTTGTCCCGATGATTGTCCCGATGGTTGTCGAGATAATTGCCCCGATGGCTATGGCGACCTGGGACAACGTGTCCCTACTCCCCACCACCCAGCCCCATCCCATGCGCCCCCAGGGGTGGAGGGTAGGCCGTGTTTGGACTGTGCCCCTTCCCTCCGCCGCTCTCCTTGCCCCTCCTCTCCTGCTCCCTTCCCTTCCTCTCATCCCTTTGCTCCTCCTCCCCTCCTCCCTTCCTCTCCTCTCCTCCCTTGGGGTTCACAGTCATAACGTGGCTCACCACCCCCTTTTCGGGGTGGGTCTCTGCGTAGTCGTCTGGGCTTCATCGGCATGTGTGGGCCTGGAGGGGTGGTGGCGGGAGGGGCTACGACTAACCCATGCCCCCCCCCTGGTGGGCGCCCCCTCTCGGGCTATTGCTGGGGATAGGTTCATTATGCCTTTGGGGTTGGCTCTTTGTTTTCGGGCTTGGCTGGACCTATTTCTGGACTTCGTGCGGCGATCGGGGGCGGGAGTGCACAACCCTCCTCGTCACACATCCTCTCAAGGGCGGTTGGGTCCTCGGACTGCGAGAACCCTCGGAAGCCTGGCGTTAAGTCGGGCATGTCCCCCTACAGGCCGATTTTGGACGAAAGTTAAAGATACCCCAAACATATTCCCAACATGCTCCTGAAAAATACTCAAAAAATGCCCAGAAAAAAAAATACCCTAAGCATAGTCCCCAGGCTATGTTTTGATCATTTCGGAATGCTCCTCCTGCAGAGGGACAGGCCCGATTTCAGGCCTGGCGGTCGAGTTGTTTGGCCCAAGGCTCCTGAGGAGGCTGGGCGGGAGGCCCTGCCTGACAGGCCCAGGGCGTGGGCTCTGGCAATTCTCTGCCTCTCGGGCTGCCTCCAGGCTCTTGTCGAAGGAGCCCTGGGACACACAAATAAATAGACACAAATAAAAAGATTCCCCATATTTTCCCATATTTTCTGGGTTTCTGTCTTCCCCACCACTGCCAATATCTTCCTATATTTTCTGGGGAATCGACGATTAATTGTGTCTGTGTGTTTCTTTCCCTCCTGACTGTTGTCTGGGCCCAGCGAGATTGAAGCTCGAGCACTCGGCAAGCTGCGCAGAGTTCGGGCGCCCGACGATTTGCTGGGCGAGGACGATCCGTCTTCCTGAGGGGGGCCCTGCCGCTGGCCCACGGTGCGCAGCCTGTCCAAGCCGCGCCGTGGTGACAAAAAGGCCCTCTTCGATGGGCCCCCTGAGGGTCTTCGGACTCTCCCTCTCTCTCTCTGCCCACCTTCGGCGCGTGCAATCCTCCTTTTCCTCCTCCTCCTCCCCTCCTCCTCCGCTGTCGATCCTCCCCCCAGACCCCTCCTCCTCCTCCTCCTCCTCCTCCTCCTCCTCCTCCTCCTCCTCCTCCTCCTCCTCCTCCTAGGCCCTCCCCCTCCTCCCAGGCCCTCCCCCTCCTCGATCCCCCATTCGCCTCACCCGCTCCGCCGGCTGTCCCGCTCCATGGGGGCGCCGGGAGCCCGCACGCCCCTCCGGCGCCGCTGGGCGCGCGGGCGCGCCGCGGGGACCTCTCGCGGGGAGGGTCCCCGGCGAAGGCCCCCTGCCGAGGGAGCCCTCGCGCCCCCATGGTCGTCGCCGTGGTCGTCGTCCTGGTAGTCGTGGTCGGCGTGGTCGTCGCAGTGGTCGTCGTCGCGGTCGCGCGGTCGTCGCCGTCTTTATCGTCGTAGTCGGCTTCCGTCGTCGGAGTCGAGTCGAGACGAGGAGAGAAGGAGGGGTGAAGGAGGAGGCGGCGAAGGGGTAGGAGGGAAACGGTGGGGGATCGTTCAGGCGGAGGAGGGCGACGCAGGAAGGGAATTGAAGAGGAGGGAAGACTCCGCTCTTCTTCGTCCTCTTTCGTCGAGTCATGCTGCTCCTCCTCCACGTCATCCTCGATCTACCTCTTTCCCCTATCCTCCTCATTCTCGCTGATGGAGAAAGGAGAAGGAAGAGGACCACCAGCAGGAGGCGGAAGGGGCGGATGGAGACGGGAGGATGAGGGAGGGCTGAGGATTGAGAGGAGACGTTGCGCTGGGTCTGCCGCAAACAGCTGGACATGAGGGGGGAGAAAAACGGAATGGGCAAGGGAGAGGGGGGAGGGGAGGAGGGGAGCAGGGACAATCTAGGTGCGCTCGCGCCATGTCTGACATCCTACCCCTCCGACCCATCCCGTCCCATTGTGCTGTGTTTCTAGATCCGCCGACGGATGCCATATCGGACTTGGACCCCCCAGAGGACCCCATTGTGTCACGCGCAATTTCCAAAGTGGAACTACGTACATTGGAGGTGGCGGATGAGCAGGAGGAAGAGAAGAAGGATGAGGAAGGAAGAGGAGGACGAGGAACTTCAGCAGCAAGAGCAAGAGTGGGAGGATCGGGAGGAGCAGGATGACGGGGAAGGGGAATGGGGAGGAGCGACAACGATGAAGAAACACTCGGATCCCGAAAAGTAGCCCGCTCTGGTGGCGAGAGTGCCGTTCAAAACGATGGGGGCAAAGTGGTGATCATCAAATGAGGCCAACGGTGCAGAGGCAGCACCCTGTTGAGGCACCGAAAGCGCTTCGATGGGAAAAAGCACTGGAAATCCAACGAACGAAATCCTGTGGTCGGGGAAGAATTGAGTACATGTCGGAGAGCAGGGGAGAGGAGCAGCGGCAGCAGCGGCAGCGGCTGAGAGCTTGGAATGCACCCAGACGTACAGCTGCTTGACTTGGTGTACGCTCGGCTTGTTCGGGACATGAGCCCCCGGACCTCTCGACCCCCCCCCCGCGCTAGGCCCGAAATGGTGTGAACGCGGGTCGCCCAAATCTTTCAGAGATCCGCCCGAAATCATGGCCTGGAGGTAACGGAAGTTCCTGGAGATGGTCCCCCAAATGTCGGGGGCGTACCAAGGAGGGGGGCGTCCAAGAGGGGGAGTCGCATCTCGCGGCCGGCGGCAGGGAGGGCCAGGGGAAGCTTTGAAACAAGAAAAGGCACCATGAAATCTGGTGAGACCTCCTCCCCCGCCCACTCCTCTTCCTCCTCCTCCTCCTCCTCCTCCTCCTCCTCCTCCTCCTCCTCCCCCTCCTCCTCGTCCAAATCACCAAGCTTCGATCCTCGGCCTCTGCCCGGAAGGGGGCTGGCGCGGAGGCGCCGCGCGGACGCCGACGTTGTCTCCTCGTGATCAGTTCCTCTCCTTCCTCCCTCATCCTCCGTCAGCCTCGCCCCCTCTCACACCTCCTCCCCTCCCTCCCTCTCCACCTGCTCCTCCTCCTCCTAGCCCCCGTTCTCCTCCTCCTCCTCCTCCTCCTCCTCCTCCTCCTCCTCCTCCTCCTCCTCCTCCTCCTCCTCCTCCTCCGCCTCCCCCTGCTCCTCCTCCCCACCGTCCTCCCAGGAGGCCTACTCGCGGCCGCCCAGGGGCGCCATGGCGCGCGCGCGAGCGTACCAGGCGCACGCCCCGCCGGCCCTCGAGGGGGCGGTTCCCACGACAGGCGGCCGCGGCGGCGATCGCGCTGGCGGCGCCGTCTGCTCCTGCTTCTCGTAGGGCGAAGACAGGACGAGGACGAAGCCGGGTGAGAATCAATCGAGAATCTCTGAGGCCCGGCGGCTCTGGAGGATGTCAGGGGCGCCGCGGCCTTCTCAGAGCGGTCCAGAACGCTCTGAGAGCGTTCTGGAGCATTCTGGCACTGAGTTGTCATTATCGTAGCCTCATCCGGTTACGAACGGCGAGCATATCCGTATCTGCGCCCTCGCGGTCTGGATTCCAGGGCGCGGTCCTGCGGATACGCGATCGCACGGATACGTTCCGCGCGGGGCATTCGCGAACAAACGCCCCGTATTCGCGGGGTCGCGGCCTAGGGGCCTGGCCCACGACCGCGGATACGGATATGCTTTTCGCCTACGACTGCTGCTCGTCCAGCTCATCGTCGTCGCCACCGCCATCGCCGTCCACTGCCAACACTTCGCCGTCCTTTGGCGTTCTTGAAGGTTTCCGTCTCCACAACTGGGCGAGGCTGGGGAAACGGGCCAAGATGGACGTCGAATGCGGTCCGGGGACCCGTGTTGAAAGGGGTGCCGTCTCCCAGTCCTCCAGTTCCTCTCACCTCCTCCTCCTCCTCCTCCATCCCCTCTTCTACTCGATCCTTCTGTGAATCTGTTTCTGTCAATACGTATACACCTTGCGAAATGCTTAAGAAATCATGGGTTAAGAAATTCATAGTCTCAGAATTTGAATAAAAAACCGAACTTTCTATTGAAATCTTAGGATTTGCATTGAAACGTTAAGAATAATCGAGACTCTGGCCGAAAATTTAAGTTTTCTTAAGCATCGCCTAAGGTGTACGATTGCTGTTTTGAATATTGAATATGTCTTGATATTCCACCTCATCGCCCCACCTCCGTCGTCTCTCCCCCGCATCCATCCTCCTTCTCCCCCCTCCTCCTCATCATCCTCCTCCTTTTCATCCTCATCCTCATCCTCATCATAACCATGACCATGATGATGATTAAGATGCTCATCCTCACCACCACCACCATCATCACCATCACCGTAACCATCACCATCACCATCATCGTGCCTTTCCTCCCTCCTCCCTCCTCTCTCTCCCCCTTCTTGATGTTCCCAGTTTATCTTTCTCCATGTTCCTCATCCACGAGCTGGAGCATGGCCCGAGGATTGGGGAGGAGGTATCGTCGTCGTCCTCCTCCTCCTCCTCCATCTTCTCCCCCCCCCTCCCCCTCATGTTCCTCCTCCTCCTCCTCCTCCTCCTTCTCCTCTCCTCCTTCGTCACCTTCCTCGTCCTCCTCCGTCCCCCTTCCTCCTCCATCCATCCATCTCCTTCAGACATCTCGGGGAGCTGAACGAACACTTCTGGAGATCTTTGACGCGCCCGAACAAAAACACGGACGACATGCCCGATCAGCCCTCGTCCCCAGCGCCAGCGACAACGGCGACAGACAGATGGATGGATGGACACGCACGGCGACGGCGACGACAAAGACGAAGGTCGCAGCCTCACAAGTCCGGGCGACCCTGCCGAGGCCAAGGAGGAGGGAGGCAGGCTTGTGACGCGACGGGGGGCCCCGCAGTGCGCGTGCCTTGCGAGGGAGGGACTGGAGGGGAAGAAGACGGGGACCATGGCCAAAACTCAACGCGGAAGCGTCGTGCCCATCTTGGTCAGCGTCGATCTTGGTCAGCGTCAACTCGCGCATCATCCTCGCAAATTGGCGACGGCCGACATGGACCATGACCGAGGTCGTCATGGACAAGATCCCGCGACATTTTGGTCATGGTCCCCGCGTTTCGCCACTCGAGGGACGGGGAGAAGAGGGAGGGGAAGGAAGGGACCATGTGGCTGTTGAGGGCTTCCCAAGGGGGCCCTCGGGGGCTCCAACGGGGCCCCTGGGTGCTCCAGGAAGCCCCGCCCCCCCCCCCCAAAAAAAAAGAAACCGCGTCGGACGGGGCTAAGACGAGTATAAATCCGTTCCAGAGCGTTCCGGAGCGTTTCAGAACGCTCTGAAGAGGCCGCGGCGCCCGAGCCATCTTCGAGAGCCGCTGGATCTCTGGCCGACCACGCGACCCCCCGCGCCCAGGGCACCACCCGCCGGCCGGTGGTCCCCGGGCCGCGCCCCTGTGTCGCGGGTTCGCGAGGGGGGCCGCCATGGACCCGGACGAGGAGGTAGTGGCCCGGAGGAGGCCGGGCCCTGTGATGAGGCGAGCGTCCGGGTGGGGCGAGGAGGGCGTCCGTGTGACTGCTGACCTACCTTACCGACCATCCAAGCCTGTCCCGAAGGCCCCAATTTCGGGTGTGTGGGGGGGGGTGAGGGTTCCACCTGTGTTTTTGTCGATGTTCCCCGACGCCCCCCCCTAACTTGGAATGGAGGGCAAAGCGGGGCCTTCGGGTTGCGTCGGGGTGGTTGGGTGGGTGGACGGTGGGGGTCGGGCCGCCCCAAGGGCGGAGCACCGTCGTCGTCGTCGTCGTCGTCGTCGTCGTCGTCGTCGTCGTCGTCGTCGTCGTCGTCGTCGTCGTCGTCGTCGTCGTCGTCGTCGTCGTCGTATTTCGTCGTCGTCATCATCGTCGTCATGTTCATCGTCGTGTTCGTCGTCGTGGTCGGCGTCGGCGTCGGAGTCGGCGTCGTCGTCGTCGATGGCGTCATCGTCGTCGTCGTCGTCATGGGTGGCGGCGGCGGCGGCGGCGTCGGCGTCGGCGTCGACGTCGGCGTTTTCGTCGGCGTCGCGTCGGCGTCAACGTGTCGGCGTCGTCGTTGGCGTCGTCGTCATCGTCGACGCCGCCGCCACCGTCGGTTGGGGGTAGTGAACGGGAAGAGTCAGCTCACGTGGCGGGTTTTCCTGGCGCCACCAGGGGGGCCCTGAGGCGCCTCTGCATCGAAGGGAGCGCCTGGCGGCGGGACAGAAGTCAGCCGCGCGCAGCAACTTTCGCGCCCCCTCGCTTCCGCTCCACCATCCTTACCATCATTCGGACATCCATTCCCCGTGCACTGTCTGGTTTGAGGTGACCTGAGACGCTCCAAGGATGATCCAAAGTTCCTAGCGTTGGCCTCGCCGGAAAAATCACACGTCCGAGCGATGCCAAAAAGAGTGCATCGACACGCACTTGCAAAGATCTGCGCAGATTTCGTGGTTCGGCGTTGGACCCCCCCTCACACCCTTGAGTCGCCGCCAAAGGGTGAGGGCCAGACCCAAGAAATCCGAACGATCACCTTCATTGATCGTCGTCGTCGTCGGCCTCTTCCTCCTCGTCGTCGGCATCGTCAACATTTGGGCACCCGAATTATCCGGGGTAACTCGGGTCCGGGGTAACGCGGGTTCGGATTCCCAAAAAACGAACCCGAGTTAGCCCTGACCCGAGTTATCCCTGATGATTTGAGGCTCTGGACGCCCGAGTTATCCGGGGTAACTCGGGCCCGGGGTAACTCGGGTTCGAAATCCCGAAAAGCGAACCTGAGTTAGCCCTGACCCGAGTTACCCCTGATGATTCGGGGCTCTGAAACATCCACTCCAAATCGGTCCCCAAACGATGCCAAGCCACCTTCGTCCTCCCCGGCAACGCGCGCCCCAGCACGAAGGAGGCTGGCGGGGCCTGCTCCACGCGGCCCAACCCGCGGTCCCAGCGCTGCCCCGCCTCCTCGGCCGCGGGGTCCGCGCAGGTGAGGCCTGCGACGGCCCGGCGGAGGGGGGAGAGGGGAAGAGGGCCAGGGGGCGAGTGGCGCGGTGGGGCGTCGGGGCCTCCAAGATGCGGTCCAAGTGGATGGGGCCAGAAGATCGCGTCGCATCGCCGATGTATCGCATCGGCGACGTAGGCGGTGCATCGGCGACGTCGGCGTGGAGAAAACCGCGATGTCCACATCGAGCCGCATCGCCGATGCATCGCCGATGCGGCGAGATCCCAAGACCTCATCTACTCGTACCCTATCTGGGAGGCCTACAATATGGAACGGTGGCAATGATTCTGTTCGGGCTCGTGGAATGGATTCAGCACGGGTACGGCGAAGGACAAAACCTCTGAGGAGTTGCTGCTGCAGGCTGGGGCGGCAGGCGAGCGTTTCTCCTGCACGGGCCGTGGGACCGACTGGCGCCCCGACGCAGGGACGATAATGCTGCGGATGATGGTGATGATGGTGATGATGTTGACAACACGGACGGTGATGATGATGATGATGATGATGATGATGATGACGATGATGATGATGATGATGATGATGATGAGGATGAGGATGATGATGATGGTGATGATGATGATGATGATCACCGTCATCATACTAATCATCACGATGACGACGATGACTCCACATCCCATGCGAGACGAACTGTCCACTCCTCGTGACACAAGACGCCGCGACAAAAAATCGAGTCACGAAAAATTGATCCGCAGACTGCACAGGGGCAGCGATAGAGGCAAAGCGGCCTCCGCCGACAACGGGCCACCATGGCACATCCAGAATCCTGAACGTCACCCGCTGTTGCAAAATTGCGCCAGCAGCGCCACGCAGAAGCCACATCCACATTTCGCCGCACCTGCACACACGTCTCTCTCTCTCTCTCTCTCTCTCTCTCTCTCTCTCTCTCTCTCTCTCTCTCCATGCGACCATTCCTCAAACTCATGTTTGCATTCTCGCGCCTGGTTCCAAGAATGTTCCCAGCTTCACAAAGCCCTGATCGACTTTGCGGATGCTGGGGCTGCGAGGCGGAACCCCGCGCTTGACTTCAAGATTTGGTTTATGGCGAAGGCCTGCATTATCTCGAGGGTCACTCCGCGCACCTCGGGGATGACTTCGGGCCCGATATTGTAGCAGTCCTTTCTTCCCCGAACTTCTGACGGAGCACCTTCTTCTGAAAACGAATGAACACCTGACCCTGCATGATGTCCGCATCCGCCGACGCCGCGCGGCGCATCATCAAGGTCTGCTTATGAGATTCAGGCGCGGACTGGTCGTCCTCGCGGCGCTGACCAGCTTTACCCACGCGCGCG